GAAAAACATATGCAAATGCTTTCTCCAGGTCAGTTGTCATTTAAGTCCTTGTTGCCAAGTAAAACCTCACGACACTGATCTTTACTATCTGCATTTCTATTATTGGTCTTCTGAGTTCCAAGAAAAATCACCCATCAAATTCTGTTTACATGGTTTTCCCAGTCATACCCAGAAGTTAGTTCCACCAATCCCCAGGGGGATCCCAATCAATCAAACTAACATTCTTCCTTAAGCCACCACAGACAGAGAGAAGAGAGAGAGAGAGAGACAGAGAGAGAGAGTTGAAATGGAGTGTGTCATTATTATCCCATTTAAATAATGAATTAACATGAAATTATAATGTTGTTAATCAGTGATTCAAAAATGCTTTTCCATACATGAATCAAATCATTACATTGTATCTTATAAATAAAAATCCCCAAATGTTATTACTTTTCTCTTGCAGAATATTAGTGAGATAGACTTGAAGAATTTATATTATTACTTTCTAATAATTTTCCATTTCTAATTTCATTCTCAGAGAATTACAATTTTCATGGAATGAAAAGGGATCCATTCCAGTCATGGAGGCTGTGGATCCTGGTTAAATGCTCCTATTTTAAGTTGCAACATGAATAGCCATGAGTTGGAGGCAGAAAGTAATTTGAGTAAAGATCTACTTCTCCTTACAGCCAGCATGAAAGTAGTCAAAGGAATTTAAACGGATAGAAATATGCATTAAAGTCAAAATACAGAAAGTTGCCATTCATAAGAAATTCTAGAGTTAGAGCAAGAGTTGTGACTCAAGTCTGTCCTGCTGATCAAGATGCTCAGCACTGTAGCATTAAATGAAGGAGCCTGAAAAGCTTCCACTCAGCTCTAATGAGAGCTAAAGACGAGGGGATACAATGTACTATTTCTTACTCCTTTAAAAAATCCCAATCTATGGCAAAGATCAGCAGACATTTTCCTTCTAGGACCAGAGAGTACATGGTTTTGATCCTGCTAACCTTGTGGTCTCTGTTACAACTGTCTCTGACATTTTATCATGAAAGCTCCCTGAGTCTGTAAATGAAACCTCATGGCTAGTCTCCAATGAAACTTTACTTATGAAAATTGAGATTTTAATGCTACATAATTTTCAATGAGCTACACAATATTATTCCCTGGCTGGTGGCACAATAGATAATGCACTTAACTACAGATGAGATTATAAAATGTCATTCTTGCTTTTATTTTTCCCCAGCCATTTAAAATTATTTTTAGCTTGTAGGACACACAAAAATAGGTGGCAGGCAAGATTTGTCTCAACTAAAGTAGTTTGCCAGTCTCCAACCTACAGTGTTAGAAAGAAGCACAGCTTCGTGGCCCCAGAGCTCTTGGAATAATGCGGAAAACATGGAGAAGGTACAGCCAGGGGGACCACCAAGAATGAAGTCAGGGGAGGTGCATGATTCTTCTGACAAGAAAACCTAGCCAAATACAATGCTGAAAAAAAGCCTGTGTACCCTTTAGCAAACACACACACACACACACACACACACACACACACATTTCACAAATTGTATTTGAAAAGCAATCTAACCACAGAAAAATAGGCATGATAAATGTATCAGCTATGCATAGATGGATAGACAGATATAAATATGTATGAAATGGAAATATATATATATATGAAAAGTTTCAACCTCATTACAAATCAGAGCGCATTAAAGCAGCCTGGTATCATTTTTACCTATCAAGTTGATAAAAATCAAATAGAAGACCAATGTCTAGAAAAGTTAATGAGGACATAATCATTTGCATATAGCTGGTAGCAAGCCATACTATAATAATCCATTCTATCAAGAGAATTTTTCCTATTTGGATAAATTGATATACACAAAAGTTATGTGTAAAGAAATACATTATTGCAATGCTATTTGTTATGGAAAGGCATTTGAATTAATTAAATGTTTAACTGTAGAGGATTGATTACATATGGGATGTTTACGTGATAGCGCCCTATGTGGCCAATAAAATCACTGATAGATTTTATTGTCACATCAAAAAATCTTTAAAATTTATATTCAGGGAAACAAGCAGGTTAGAAAGCCATACATATGGAATGATCTCAAGCACTTAAAAACTTGGAGCATGGGTCATCAGAAGGCTTGCTTCCTGCAGCAGCCAGCACCCACTGGAGAATTGGATAAACATACGTCTGTGTGCCTTCGACCATCATGGGAATCCCAGTGTAGAAACACAGGCTGAGAGAAGCAGCCAGGGGTGCATGAGAGCATGCACCCCTGGCCATCAGAGAAGCCCCAGTGTAGCTGTACAGGTCTGGATAAGCCCACTCCATGCCCTGCTACCTCCCTGGAAACCTGGGGCTACCCAATTCCCCTACACCACAGAAGGGCAGCCAACATGGAAAGTTTCAGGGACCCTACAACTGGTTTGTTGTGAGGAACCCAAGAGAATGTCAAGATGAAGGAGCAAAAGGCAATCTCAGACCTCCTGTCAGACCTCCACACAGAACAAGTCTGGGAGATACAGTCATGGAAGAACATGGAAGTCACACACCTGAAATCTCTGAGAGGACAGCAACCAAAGTAAGGAAACAACTTCATGAGACTGTAAAAGTAGTTAGGTCAGAAATAATGTCTCAGGTAAAAGAAGAAATCACAAACATAATAAAAGAATTGCTGAGCATATCTAAAGAAGACATAGATTAACAAAAAGATGAGCATAAGAAAATGATGGGAACCTTGAATGAACAACACAGAAAGGAATTACAATTCATGGAACAGATTCAAAGAGATATTGAGGGAACTAAAATTTGGGCAAAAGCTGACAAATCACTTATAAAAGACTAAGATAGACTTTCAGACCTTGAAGACAGGATCACAGCGAGTGACTGTGAAAGGAGTCTTAAAAATAACATGGAACCAGGAAACAACAATTCAATGGCTGCAAGATGATGTAAAGAAAAATAATTTAAGACTTATAGGTACAGGGGCTGGGGATTTAGCTCAGCGGCATAAGCGCCTGCCTTGCAAGCAGGCAGTCGTGAGTTCGATCCCTGGTACCGATAAAAACGAAAAAGGCAAAAAAAAAAAAAAAAAAAAAAAAGACTGATGGGTATCAGCAAAAAAGCAGAGGTCAACATAAATTAAACAATAAGACTATTTAGAGAAGAAATAGCAGAAAATATCACTAACATGGAAAAAGGATTTGGCATACAGATAAGTGATGCATATAGAACTCCAACTAGCCATAACCTAAATAAATTTACACCCATATGATAAGCAAGTTACCAGAAATTTAGCACAAGAACAGAATATTAAACACTAATAGAGAAAAGAAACAGATCACCTACAAGGGAAAACCAACCAGAATCATGGCAGACTTATCGACACAATCCATCAAGTCAAGAAGGATTTGGAGTGAAGCATTTCAAATTCTGAAAGAAAACGCCTTCCAACTCGGATTGATGTATCCTGAAAAACTATGTTTTGAAACTGATGGAAAAATAAGATACTTCCATGACAAAGAACTGAAGGAATTCATGACCACCAAACCAACTCTACAGAGAGTGTAGAAGGATATTCTAGAGAGAGATAAAGATGACCATGTTTCCAAAAATAGCAGCAGAGGAGGATCAGCAAACAGGACAGGCCACTGAATGAAGAGGAACAGTGGGGAGCCAACAGTAGAGGACAGCAGGGCGAGACAGACAATGTATGTGGGTGTAACCATTAGTGTAGATGGCCTCAGGTCAGCAATAAAATAAACACAGGGAGAGAAATCAAGAAATAAGATCCATTGATACACTGTATACACATTTAACTGAAAAGGAAATTCATAGACTGAAATCAAAGGAGAGAAAACAGTTGTTCCGTGCAACAGAGGACCAGAAAAAAGCAAGGGTAATTTGCCCTTCAGCTGGAAAGGATAAGAAAGGTATGATATTTTCATACAACGGAAAGCAACCCAGCTATAAAATAGGGTAATCTTGAGGCTCTTATAGGTAGATGGATGCAACTGGAGATCTTGCTCATGGGTGAAATGGTTTGGACTCACATGGGTGAACACCAAGTTGTCTCCCTAGCATAGAAAACTGAGGTAGTTAGTGGGATCCAAAAAGCACAATAGATATTATGAAAATGATAGGAGAGGAAATGCCTAAAAAGGAAAAGTGGTACCACCATTAATTTCCTATTATCTTGTTTTGGATTCATACTTTATTTCCATAATTTTGTTAGGCTTCATTTTATTCTGTCTTGTTTTGATTTTATTGTGGCTGGTGTTATGGGAAGCTGCTTTGAAGACAGCAAGATATATTACAGTGACGATTGTTGATTTCCTATTATCTTGCTTTGAAGTCTTATATTGCTTTTATTCTTTTGTTTTGATTGATTTTAGTCTGTTTTGTGTTTTGTTTGATTTTATTGTATGTGATGATATGGTCAGCTGTTTTGAGGAAAGCAAGGGATGTGATGGTAGCCATTGCTGATTTCCTGTTGTCTTGTTTTGAAGCTCTGTATTATATTGTTCTGTCCTGCTTTGCTTTGTTTTGCTTTATTCTCTTTAAAAGAAAAGAAAATTAAAACATGTATATATAGTCTGTAGTATGTAGTGGGTGTGTACATAAGTTTGTGGAGCTAAGACTGAGTGGGCATACACTAATGGTTTAATAGAGATATTCTCTCTGTGTGAGTGTATCAGATTGTAGGTTACAGATTCGTGTAAATACTACTATTTGACTATTATGAGGTGGAATAATATGATACATGTTATTTGCACTTGGTTTCTTATGCTTTTAAGGTTAATCAATGTTAGTATGTTTACTTTTATTCCTGTATGATTTCTCATTGTATAAATGTACTACATGCACACTGCTATGAACAATATTGCACGTGCCGTCTGGTGTACAGGTACAGAATTGATTTAGACTAACATAGGTAAACTGTAAGGAATAAGCACATTTTAACTTTATTAGGCAAGGCCAAAATATATAACAAAATTCATACTCCTGGTAGAATTATAATATTTATTCTTCCACAGTTCTGAAAAATACTTAGACTTTATATGATTAAATAATGCTTTTTTTCTTCCTGTTGTTTCTCTAGAGCTCTGATTGCTTACATGCTAAATCTTTCCATTGTATCCTCTCTATACTTAAATCTGTTTCATAGTTTTCCATTTAGTTATTTATTTTTTGTTTATTACTTATTTTTGGTCTCTGAATTGTATCTTCGATAATGTATTTGCCTCTCTACCACTAATTATCTCCTTGGCTACATATGATGTAATTTTTAACCATTTATTAAAGGCTTAATTAATTACATGTCCCATTTGTGTAAGTTATTTTTGGTGCTTTCTGAACAGGTTTGCTAATTTCCCATGTTTATTATCACTGGCTCAAACTTAATCATCTTTCATTATTTTGAAAAATATTAAATAATCATGTTATACAAAATTGGATTTGCATTCAGTCCTGCTAATTGTTTATTCACTATAAATCAGGACCACTTTAAAATAAAGCATCTTTGAGAGGTACTTTGTATAGACAGAGGATCAAAGAGTTGGAGTCAAAAAATTTGCACAAAAGTCCAGGTGTCGTAGTGCACACCTGTAATACCAGCACTTGGGAGGCTGAGGCAGGAAGATTTCTGTGAGTTTGAGGCCATCCTGGGCCACATACGTGAGCTTAAGGCCAGCCTGGACTACATAGTGAAACTCTGTTTCAAAAATTCAAAAATGAAAACAATATATCTATGTGAAGGTTAACTATGTTAAACTATGTTAAAGTGTTAACACTTTACCTAGAGTTTCTTTTTTACCACTTCATTTATAAATCAAGTTAACACAAATACGCTTTCTGCCTCTTCTTTACTCAGACTTTCTTTATTCTTTGTTTGCCCTTCCACTGAGGGTGTATTCTTAGAGGGCTTAGCTTTTTTGTATGGATCTTACATTAAACTTCTAAATTTGCCTATACTCCACGTTATGGCTCATACCTAGGTGCCTCTCCCAAAGCCTCATTGCTCGCAGCTGGGGCTTTGGGGAGGTGCTGGATCATGGGTTAGTGTACTGATGAGTTTAAGCTAAATGTCATGTTTGGGGGTGAAGCCTGGTTGGAGAAGGTGGTTGGAGAAGGCGTGACCTGGAAGGATGTACTTGTCTTCCTCTTTCCTTGACTGTTTGTTACTTCCTATCTGCCATGACATAAGCAAGTCTCTTCCGCCATGGCCCTGTGCCATGCTGCCCTGCTTTAAAGCCAGCAGTCTGTGAACTGGGGCTTCTACAACCGTGAGCTAAAACAGACCTCCTTTCCTTTAATTGTGGATGTCAGGTTCTATGTGCCAGTGATGAGAAAGTAACTAAGATACTTCCTATTGGTCTGCTTACGCTGCCATAGTAAACTATATATTGACTATAAGCCATAGAAATTTACTTTCTCAGTGTCAGAGGCTGAAGTCTCAGCTCAGGGTGTTTCTGTGGTGGGTGCCAGATCAGAGACCTCTTCATGACTTGCAGATGGATGCCTCTTTATTGTATCTTCAAAGCACACACACACACACACACACACACACACACACACACACACACATACACGAGAAAGGGGAGAGAAACAGAGAACGGGATCTACATCCTTTTAAACACCAGTCCTACTGGATTAGGAATCCATCCACCTTCACAGCTTTGTTGAACCTTAATTGCTACCTAAAAGCCTTGTCACCAAATATAGTCATACTGTGTTTAGGACTTCAGGGTATCAACTGGGAATGGGTGAGGCTCGAGTCTCTTCATACCATGCACCAACTTTAATCTCCTGATTCCTTTGCATGTAAGGTATGAAATGAAAACTTGAAGTCATCAGAATGCTGCAGACATCTTTCTGCAGTATTTAGTACAAATTATAGGCCACAATTTGTACTTTCCCTTCATGGTTAGTCACTTTTGGGAAGCTCATCTGTCTACTTACTGATTAAAATTTTCATCCTACCAGATATCTTAGTTACTTTTTTTTGCTGCTCAGACAAAATACTTGACACTCAAAGTTACAGGACGAAAGGTTATTTGGCTCACAGTTTGCAGAGGTTTCAGTCCATAATTGGCTGTGTCCAAGGCAGAGTAGCACGGCAGACAGACACTGCAGAAGAGAAATGGTTCATCCCTTGTTTCTAAAGGTAACCACTCCAGTGGGATCTTGCATCATTGCTGTACACAGTACTTCAGTGTCTGAATAATTCACAATGGTTTGATCCATTGTACTGTTTGTGGGTACATGGTGATTTCTGCTTGGGAAAATTAAGAAACATGTTTCTGTAAACATTTTCATACCAAGTTTTAATTCACTGATGCATTTCAGAATTGTATATGATTAGGAATCAAATTGATAAGTCATAGGATATATTTATATTCAAATTGAAAATATAGTGCCAGGTTTTTGAGAGTCTCATTAATTTAGTAACTGCAGTTACTATATGAAAATTCCAAGTCACTTCACAACTTTACAAATGTTACCTGGGAATAGTTGGTATCATGACTATTTTAATTTTAGTTGTACTAATACATGATTAACAGAATCTCACTAAGGTATTAATTAGCACTTTCCTGATTACTTTCCTATGCTTTAAATTTTAAGGTTTAAATTTTTAATTAAAATTCTAATTTGTACTCTTTACCATATAAGTTGTTGATATTTGTAGAGTTTTTAAAAAGATATTTAATGTCTCTTGGGCATTTTTTAGAGTTAAAGATATGTTGTTCTACATTTTATTTGTATATTCATTTCTAATAAAATTTCATTATAGTCAGAAAATGTTGTGGATGGTAAAAATATTTGTCAGTTATAGACATTTGTTGTGAAACCGTTTATGACTTTTTGTTGTTACAGTTTCCAGATGCTGCTGTGTAGAGATGGTGAATTTTTAGAATTGTTCTCTCTGCTATGTATAAAATCAGTTAATTAACTTTGTGCATATCTCTATTCTTACTGATTTTTGTTGGCTTGATTTATCAAATACTAGCAGAATGTGTTAAACCATCTCACTAAGCTACTAGACGTGACTTTCATCGGCAATTCTCTACATATTGTCATGGGTGTGAGAGAAACACTGGTGACTAGATTGTTTTTGTAGTTTCTGTGCCTTACATGTGAGCACCATAAGGCCACTGCAAGAATCAGACTCAACAGAGCTGAGTCCTGGCTCTGCTACCGAGTACTATAAAGGAGGAAGGGCACGCACCCTTCTTTGCTGAATTTCCTGGGCAGAGGAAGCAGCATGGGTGGAAATTACAGGGTGATGATATGAAAAAATGAATAAAACAGAAAAATAACCTTCCCAGTGTGTGCCTAATACTAAAAGACATTTTCTGAGCTTATTGTGATACTGTCATTTCTAGGAGTCTTCAAGAAAGTCTTAGACTACTAACTATGAGTGAAAATAGGCCGAGTTTGTAAATCTATCTTTCTCTGAGGCCTACTGGGATGGGCCCAACAGAAGCGCCAGTGCATTCACCTGATCTTCATTGAGAAGGGAGCCTTCTAATGCAGCCTTGACACCCATTCCTGGGTGCCCTCCTGGGTGCTGCCTGAGGTGCAGCTCCAGCTGGATGTGGTCTAGCTCCACTCTTCAGCCCCAGTGAAACAGCTAAAAGAGAAAAGTCAGAGGTCAGTCCCAAGCTGACCCCACAGGTCGAACGATATACCCCAGTACATAGGACTCTGAGGACAAATTCCGGGCAGACATTCTTGCAATGAATGTTGCAATGAATTATTTGCTTATTCTAACAAATATTTTTTGAATTCTTTCCTTTGGTAAGACACAGGGTGAGGATGCAATTCCCAAAGATAATATAAACAGTTTCTTGAGTACCCACTTCCAAGCTTCAAGAAATTGTTCATGTAGAACTCACAGAAGAGGCCTTTCTCTGGTGAATAAAAACAAGGTAGCGTCTTTGTTGTTCTTAAAAAGGGTATGAAAAAACACACTGAGAATTTTCAGCGCCACAAGTGTGGCCGCAGCATTATATGGAACACAACTATTGAGTGGGATTAGAAAACCCAGCCATCCTGTAGTGTTGTTCTTGGAAGAGGACAATAAACAGTGACAATTGTGAAACTTGATGGAACTGAGACCCAAAAACACTGTCTTCCTTTATTGTTCCTGCAACAGCCTTAATGAGAAAGAGCCTGCTTGTACCAGTGTTTGGTGCCTGTTGCCTGGTGTCAATTGAACAGTTATTTCTTATTTCTGTTTTGTCTGCAAGTCATCTCATTACTGCTCTTCTCATTCTATATTCTTGATACTTTTTAAGCCATAGTTTTAATCATGTACCTTTCTCTAGCCCATCAATAGATGACCATTGTCTATAGAAAATCACTCTTTAACCATCACCTCTGCCCTCCAGCACCTCATAGCCACCCTGTGCCATGTCCCACACTATGATACACATTTCTGGGTATTGCCTTTTGTACCACTTCTCCCCAGCACACCTACAATTCCTCTTCCCTGACTTCGTCCATCACCATGACCTGTGTGGAATATTTTATTACCCAATACTTTGTATCAGATCCCTCAATAATCAACAGGAAATTTGATCTAGATTCAGATTAATAGATATTTAAGGAGTCCACTGGCCTGTATTAAACAGTAAAATTGGCCTCAGCATTATAAGATTAGGTTCTTCTTTACAGTCTAGACCAAGACACAGAAGGCAGAACATAACACAGAGCAGAGATGCACCACCTAGAGGCATATCCTTGGGGACTAGAACGGCAGATACCATGCGGGCCCAGCAGCCCTGTGACTTGCTGCACCTGGTGAAAGTGTTGGTGGAAGAAGGGAACAGGACTTGATGTTGGATCTGAAGTTATGCTCAGGGCGGAAAGTGGGGAAGGACGCTGACATGGGCAAATGGAACATGAATAAAGACGAGCCTTCTGTGTCACCTAGTCAACCTTCTCTTATTTCAAGACTGAATTCTTCTCAGCTTCATAGCTACAATTTCTTTTGCTGATTTTTCTTACATTATTACAATATTACTCAGAGTCAGTCTTGAATTTTAGTTACTTAGTTATAATTTCTTTTTGTTGAGGGCCCAGTAAGTCTGAGGAGTTAAATCTTACGAAAAGTTATCTGACCTAATCTCTCTATCAACCTGAGAGGAAGCAGTCTATTGTTATAAGCAATATGTAGATGAGGAAACCAAGCTTCTAACAAGTATAACTAAACTAAAAGTATAAATTAAACTGTTGGTGGTTTCAGACTCCTGCAGACAGAGGTTCCGATTTAGTGGGATTTAACTGGAATTTTTATGTGCATTTTGTCAAAGCACCAAAATGAATGAGAACAACAGTTTTAGTAGCACTGTACCCGGCCCTGTTCACTTCTAGATATGTCTGTCCTTGGGGCTGAGGGACTTTTCACTTAATGCTGTATTTTACGAATTCAATGATGGTAATGTCTCACATACTATAAATGTTACAAAAAATCCTTTATTTGGCTGATAGTACTGTAATGAAAGTGAGGATTCACAGTTTTGTGAAAGAAGGAAGCTTGATCTCTCAAGGATAAAACATTTTGTTCTCATTGTTAATGAGTTCTTACTTTAAATCACAAAGTTAAAAGACTTTGTGACCCCACATCTCCTCCAAACTGGGTCTTATACTATTGCTCTCTTTCTATTGTTAGTAAGTTTCTAGAAAGATTTTCAATTCATTTGTCTTGCTAACTGATGATGATCCCACAATACGAATCTAGCCAATGTCATTAGATAACTTAACTTCTCCTACACAAAAATGAGTGCTTTCTCTTCAGTTCCATGAGTCTATTGTAGTGCATTCTGTTTATCACCACACAACCTCTTTTGAACTGTAAAGTCCCCAAGAGTGGAAAAGGAGTCACCCGTGCCTCCACAATGAGAGGGCCTAACATACTGCTCTGCACAAAAAGATTCAGTCGCTTTTTGTGGAACAGATGAGTGGAGGAATAAACAAAGAAATAAGAATGGTTGAATGAAGATATGTGTCTTTCTTTCTCAGATGAGTCATCAGGAGTCTGTCAGTCTAACCACCATAACCCTTCCAGGGCTCAATTGCCTCCTATTTGTCACTGCTGTCCTGCTCCAAGCACTCTTATTACCCAAGATTTCTCTAATACCCATCTAATAATTCACTGAGCTGTGAGCTTTTGTGATAGTCTTTGAAGTTTGTGTTTGTCCACTACAGAAGCTGGATTTACTCTTTCAATATAGAAATCAAAACTCTCCTCTGGTTTCCATTTCATGCAGAACAAAGCTCAAATTCCACAGCTGCTTGCAGGGCTTTGTAAGAACGACCACTCCCCTTTCGGTCTACTGTCTAGCCCCTCTTACTTTCTAATCTCATCCCCAGCCTACTCCAGCCATCCTACCCAGATACACCAGGAAAGCTTCCACAGAGGGCCATCCGAGGCAGGTTTGTGTGTCTGGGTGCTCTTCAATCCATCAGTGCTGACTCCTCCACCCCTGTGAAGTCTTTGCTCAACTGGAACCTTCCCAGTGAGCCCAACCTCAGCCAGCATGTTTAGCATTATTCTCCTGATGGCCATTCGCCTTGATTTTGCTCTTCTAACATATGCTATATTATTCATGACTTTCATCGTTTATTGTCTTACATATATGATAATTCATGACTCATTACTTATGGTTTAACATGTAGTGTATTATTCATTGCTATCATTGTTTATGGTCTGACTCCACTAGAATGTAAATTTTCAAGGAGTTGATTGAATTTGTACATTGATATATTCTAATTGGATTGACAGTGTATGATAAATGCTCATCATGAACATGATCAATGCCCAGCAAATGTTTGGATGAATAAATAAATCTATGGCTGCTCTGATATATTCCCTGCTTACATGCCCTGACTAATAAGGCTTTAATAATGAAATATATATCTGCCACTTAATAGGTGCTGTTGAACAGATGGATGCATACGAGCCATAGTTCAATGGATCACGGTTGGAGGGTGGGGGATATGTCAGCTAATAACCAGTGTAGTTTATGTAAAACTTCTTGGTATTTATTTTTGCAAAAGCCTTTCTTGGAATTGGAGTGCTAAAATAGGATGTCATTGAGGCCTCTGTGGTTTTAGTGGCTATGACATTTGCCATCATTCTCAAGACAGGAGAAAGAGTGTGACATGGGTGCCTTAATTAATCCAATCCTGGGCAGAAGTGATGCCCTGACAAAAAAACAATCAGGAAATCTTGTAGACTGGCTTTCCCAAAATAACCCTGCTGTTGTTCCTAAGTACAGCAGAAACTCTAATTGGGGCAGACCTTGAGCTCATTTCAATAGACTCAGCATGCTTTTAGCTAACATCAAATCTAAAAGTTTCCCACGAGAACCTTCCATTAAATTTGCATTCTGCCAAACTACAGAAAAAAAGGCCCTGTAGTTTGCAAATACAGAAAATAGACATAACTATATTCCATTTTTGCAGACTCATGGGTAAATTTTCCAATCAAAAGTGATCTGTGTGATCTTATTTTTGATCAAAATATAATGTTTAACAGGTGGGCTGTTTTGGACTCAATCTTTGCCAGGTGCTGTGAAATCATGACAAATGATCATAGTACCTCTGTAAAAATGATTTCAAGTCACTCTACTTGACCTGTCATTCAGATTGGCCTTCACAGAAACTCATTTCCTAACCACACCCACTCTTGTGATGGAAGGTGGGTGCTTTCCAAATAGCTTGGCTCAACAAACCTGCTCCACTGGAATTACTTTGAATCATAGCTTGATTGACAAGTTTTAGAGAATAGGATTCAATAGTGGAGTAAATAACTCCACCAGGATTGTGCATGGACCCTTAAACTTGCCAATTTTAAAACACTAGTTCTGTGTCATGAGCGTACTTAAACAAGAATTAATTGGATTAATCCTCCTGAGTAATATTAAAAACTATTCATCATTGGGGCTGGGGGTTTAGCTCAGCGGCATAAGCACCTGCCTTGCAAGCAGGCGGTCGTGAGTTCGATCCCCGGTACCGATAAAAATGAAAAAGACAAAAAAAAATAAAAAAATAAAAAAAAATAAAAAATAAAAACTATTCATCATTATATCCATGCTGCAGAGTACTTTCTAGTACAAGATGACTATTTACAAATCTAGGGATCAATAAGTTAATTACAGATTTCTTGTAGACTCAGTAAGGGAAAATCACTATTTAAAATGGGCGTGATTCTCTACAAGATAACATAATAACAATAGTAACAAAATTATAATAATGATAATATTTTTCTCCCTACGTTGGTTTGCAGGAAACTCAGAGCTGTCCTTAACTATGGTAATTATCCATAGCCTAATCAGTTAATACATTTGTTTAACATTTTCCTTTATGATTTTTAATACTCTATTTCTATTTCAGGACCTTGCTGTATTTTCCAGAACTGCAGTGTCTTTTAGTTTCAAAATTATTTTTGGATATAAATTGAGTATAAATGCAATAACAAAAAAGGAACAAATTAGGTATACTGTATTTCTTGAATTTTCTATTAGAAAAAATAAAGTAAAATAATTGCTTTTAGAACTAAAATATATTTAACATTTATTTCATATGACAAATGAAAAAGAAAAAGTTCTTTCATCTTGATAAGCATTTCCCTATA